GGGGCCCAGGGGTGGGGGTGAAGAATTAAACAGTAAATTAGATTTGAGGGAAATGCAGAATGAGGGCTATTCATATAGAAAATAGAGAATTAACAAAAGAAGAAATCCTTTTGGTTGTACAAAAGTAATACTAATTATAGTTATGAGAGTTATTTATCATTTATGAATTCATAGTTTATACACAGTAGAAGAAATCGTTTTGGTTGTATAAAAGTAATACTAATTATAGTTATGAGAGTTATTTATCATTTATGAATTCATGGTTTATACACAGTAGCTATTAAGCTCATCACTCATATGTAGCAGATTAATTTCTTTTAGGTTTTATTTGATTTCAACAGCATATTATGTAAGATTAGAACTAGTTTTTTATAGCATATCTGCTAAAAGCTTTTAAAATTCTACACTACTTAGGTGATTTTGAACACCCTTTAAACATACGACAATGAGAAAAGTCACAAGAAAACATAATAAAACAGAAAATAACCAAACCATGCTAGAAAAGTAGAATATGTAGTATTTAATAAATTCAACAACAACAACAACAAAAAAACAAAGTAGAAGGAAAGAAGACAGCTAAAAATAAATCCAGTGGAGGAAAAATAAATAAAAATAGAAAAACCTGATTAAGAGCAGGAAAAGAAAAATAATCTGAGCTTTTCCAAACCATGTTAAGAAATATGTTGTTAAATTTACAGGTAATTTTCCCCGCTGGGACTAGAGAGTAAAGACTTTTATATAAAGAATTGCACTTCAAGTCTTCAAAACAAAGCTTCCACATCATGGTCTGAAAATCAGAGTAAAGTCATTTCAGTGCACCACAGTGAAGATTTCTACTATGATTAGCAGTGCTATTCTTCTTAAAGAGAGAAGGATAAAAGAGAAGGAGAGTAAGTGGAGAAAATTATGGCATTTTTCTTAAGAAAAATGTGGTATTTATTGTGGCCCCAGCAGAATATGGAGACTTCAGCCTAGCTCTGTCTACATACTTGAAGACATCTGAGCTGCTGAAATGCCCTTTGCCCACAACCCCTTCCTTGCCAAAGCCTGCTTGCTACCCTGGCATCCACTTATTGGGCAAGTAAGAGCCTCCAGCATGGTGGCCCTAGCAGCCACAGAAAGGAGAAGAGCTCTGCACCTCCCATTTGTGTGCACATCCCATTCTTGTGCTCCACAAGGCAAGAGAGAGACAGATAAATTTATTGCTGGCATCTCTGGGCCCATTGCCATTTACAAAAAAGAAACTGAATGGGACATATGGAGTTACTAGTCATTCCTTCCCACCTTCTGCACTGCATTGACTGCAGAATCAAAGCCAGGAGGCTCAGGTTACACAAAGGATATCAGACTAATTGAGTAGGATGTTCTTTTAGGGTTTCTGAGGAATGACATTATCAGTCTTTTCCTCAAAACTATTCTAAAATATTATTCTAACAAACTATTTGGTATCTAATATTCTGGAACAGTTAATCACAAAAACAATTCTTCCTAAAAATGTTTCTTTTTCAGCTTAGCACCAATTCAACTCTTTAAAAATATTGCCTACTTATAAAAATTATATCTAAAAATTATATCACAGAACCCAGAGAAAAACAGTACTGAAAAAATAATTAAATTCATATAAACTATACAGATAGTTGGTTATTTCAAAATTATCCAAGAATATTTTGTCTTCTTTGTCCTACAGAAAGTAATAAACAGAAAAAGAAATCCTGTTTGTTTGTATTGTAAATAGCCCTAATGAAGAACTCCTTCAAATCTGGTTGAAATTTTGCCTGTGAAAATTTCTCTTGGTGTATACCGAATAAGACACTTGACTCATAAAGTGGAGATCTCAAAAAACCTAAGTTTCAAACTAACTCATTTCTTCTCTCCAGTACACTTTATCATTCTTTATTCACTTACAATAAAAGGCTCCTCTGCCTTTCATACCTAACAGCTCTATTCATTGTCTATTATACATTAAAAATGCCCTATCTGAATAGCACTTTTCAGAACAGTAACTGGACAAAAAAAAAAGATGTTTCCCAAATCTATCTAATAAGAATCAGTTGCTCTATTAAAAACAGTAACTCCTAGCTCTCAACTAGAATGCAGAATTCACTGAGATTGATCTGTTCTTTCCACAAACATTTTTGGTGCCTAATATGTGCTAGTTACTAGGAAAGCAACTGAGAATATAGAGAGTGATATGAGATCCCGACCTTGAAGAGTGATACTAGAGGAATGTAAACACATTCAAAACAATTGTATGTGCTAGACTAAAGCCCTGGGCAAAATGTCAAGAGGCCCATGCTGGGCCAGGAAGTGTACTTCTATGGATCTATCAGTGAGAATTGACTAAGCTAAAGCAGTTGGGAGAGATTGCTGCTGGCTAACATTTATTGAATGCTTAACATGGTAACATAATATGCTAAGAGCTTTTTATACATTGTCAGCTTGATTTTCACAACAGCTATAGTCCCATTATCCAAATGAGGCAGCTCCTTGGTTGAATTTAGTGACTTGCCAAAGATCAAGCAGCCATGATTGGGATCAGGGCTCTCGTACTGCAAAATTAAGACACAGGCATGCCATCCAATAAGGCTTGCTTATCCCTGTCTCTGACCATCACTGTCAACATCCCTGCCACCTACCCTGTGAGGAGCTTAAGGTCTTGAGGAAATTTAAAACCTATTCTGCAAAGTAATTGTATCCCTCACAGAGCTTCTCAGAATTTCATGCCCAATCCCATACTTTTAAATGAGCCTTCTTAATAAATATGTGTTTCCGTAAATTTGCTTTCATAACTTCAAAGCCATAACCACAGTGTTGGCATAGTCTCCAGGTAGAGATGCATACTCAAAGGCCTTCTAATTACTTTCCAAACTCAACTGTATAATTTACAATGCATAATTCTCAGTGAGATAAATTAATGTTTGGCTATTCAAAAACTCCATAGTTCTACACGCGAGTGACGAAATAGAATTTGAAAAAGGTCTGACAAATGGCTATCTTTGTTGATGCATGTAAGAAAAGATAAGGTAGAATAAATACTTTCCAGGAGACTAAATTAGCATATAAATTACCTCATTCTTTTCAGATCTTGACTCCTGTTCACTAGAACTTTCTTCCAGAAAACATTTCACTTTCTCAACCTTGTCCATGCACTGAAAAAAGGCCATTTTCTCCAGATGGTTACTGTTGTAATACGTGTTGATTTCTTCCAGCCTCTTCACTTTTAACATCTTGGTGGTGAGTCCAATTAGGTTACTATCTGGAGTGTAGTTTTCATCTCCCTCTGTTCTTGATTTCTAAATCAAGATGCAATCGTGACTTTTGATTGCGCCTTCCTCTTTACTGTAAAGAAAAAAAACAAAGTTCTCATCATTTACACATTTGACTTTTTGGTAAAATGACTGGTGAGAATTTTGAAGTCTCTTTTATTTAAATTGGAGAGAGGATCCAAAAATAGGAAGAGAAGTGTTAATATTAATATCAAGTTTCAAATGCTGGAACTTTAACAGGAAAAACGTTTTCCCCCATTTTTTCCTACAAAAGGAAACAGTAAGAAGCAACCTTAATTTCATTAGGCATATAATATTTCCCTCACTGCATAAAATAAGATTTTTGTCAAATGGCCAATTTAAATACAGAATATAAAGTTTCTTTGAGTTTAATTGGGATTGTAGGTTTTGCTCCTGCCATCCCCAGTAGGAAGGGCTTCCTGCATAAGGAGTCTCTCATGCTTCCTCTGGGAATTTTGCCCCCCTCTGGGGAGTGGTCTCCACCAAATGAGTTATTTCCAGAGTAGTTCTCTGCCTATATCTTAAAATATTTGGTGTTTATTTAAAAAAAAAAAAAAAATGTTTCCTTACAGCCTTCTCACATAGATATGATACCCAGATATCTTTCTTTTCATCTTCATTAGCAGCCCAGTACCAAGTAGTTCAAATCCTTGTGCTCTTCTTGAAATACTTCCCTTTCAAATTAGGTAATACACGTACTACTGTTCTGGTACTAGAGATCTACATATATGTATGTATCTACACATCACTTGATTATATGGCCGGATGTGGGGGGTAATTTGATTTGTGGCAGGTTTCCACCACCAACTCCTGAGGCCCCCTGCTGGAGATTTTCTGAAAATTGCTTCTTTCAGCTTTTTCTTAATTTAAAATCATCTGTAATTATCACCACAAAACTTTATCTTTTACTTCTCAATTTATATAGTAAAAATAATACCTTGAGTTCCAAATTATTTAAAATAGAATGGTCTACAAAATTCCACTTAGCCATATAAAGTGCTTACATTCAAACACACTAAAATGTAAATAGAATCAACCAGAGTACTATAAGATACATTACAGGCCATTATTAGCATTCTCACAAATTGCCCTGTAAAAAAGAATTACTGAAATAAGAAGAGAAATGCATGAATATTTCTAAGGCAAACTATGACTAAAATATCACATGTAATTGCAAATGCTACTGAAGTTGTATCAGAAAGCCACGCACAAAAAAATAACATTGAAGCAAAAGCTTAGGTCCAAGATATAATAATTTCAAAAGAAAAATTAAATGTTAAGCTCTACCTGGAGTTTGGTACAACTTGTTATTTAAGGCAACATAGACAGAAAGAGCAGAGATCTGAGAGGTTATAACAATTTTTTAAAAATAGAGTAATTACCATTTATGGAGGACATCCTAGAGTTTTGACCCCTCCAAGTGTAGAGTATAAGTTCCAGCAGGTAAAGGGAGGTTTTTCAGAGTTCAAAGTGACCACATGTTTTTCTGGTATAAGTTTTTACTCTCAGTCAGTATAAGTCTTCTGAAAAAACAAGTCCCCACTATGAAAGGAAGTATCTTCTCAAATGCCACTTTGAGCCCCTGTTTAAACTAATATGGTCCTTGATCTCATGTTGCTCAGCTGTTGCCTTCTTAGTCAGATGGGGAAGAATATTAATTTTAGACACCAGGCTTTTCAAAGCCAGTGGCTCCATTTCAGAGGTCAGGTAAGGGAAGGAACTGGGAGCAGTGGCTGAAATAACACCTTCACCTTTTCCTGTCATCGGTGTGTCAACACTCAGAATTACAAAGCTGCATTTGTCTTTGGTGATCATATGACTGGCTATTCTGCCCCTTTCATACTCATGATTATATAAGTGCTCATTCCCAGCTGAGAGGATCCTGGGTGACGGAACTCCACAGCCACCTTATACTTTGAACATACCCAACTAGAACATGAGAGATGTTTTGAAAGCACTTAGCAAGTTTTGATTTTCTCAGTCTTTAAAATTACTTGTAACATCTCCCACTGTTTATGGCTCTACGGAAAGGTCAAAGGCACAGGCATGCAGGGAGTTACAAAGAACAATAATGAATTTTCATAAACTCTCCTTACAGGCAAGACTGTCCCTTTTCCATCACAGGCCAATAAAAGAAAATCCAGGAGAACAATCCAATTGCCTAATTCTAACAGTAGCATTTAGGCAAATCTAGCGTTCCTAGATTTATTTAAATGGCATAAAACCTAATTGCTTAGAAAATAGAAGTGGTAACACAGACAATTCTACAATTCTTCAAGGCCCCAGGCAATTTTCCCCTCTTTTCTGGAGCCTTTGCTGATCCCTCCATTCCCCACCCTAACACCAGCTTTTAATGTTCTCTTATTTTTCAAAAAAAAAAAAAAAGAGTTCTTATTTTTAATTCATATTAATGATGTATTCTATATAAAATAAAAATACATGTTTCTATTTGGATAGCATATAAAGAATTATAGCAAAATCTTTAAAAAAGCAGGAGTTTGGGTATTTTTCTAGAATTAGAGAACTTTGTTCTTCAGTAAGAACAAGTAAGCAAAACTATGTATTTGTTACAGATAAATTATTCAACAAATTGTTATGAAAAGACTGAACTGTTTTGAGGTTACCAATTTTTCTTAGTATAATAAAGTGTGAAATAGTACTAATAAGGTGACAAATATACGCCTCCCAACCCCCATGGAAAGAATACAATGTGTACAGCCTTCTGCCGATTTAACCATACCCTCTACCCAGACCATCCAAACAACAAAATCAGACTTCCCATACCCTCAGCTCCAGCAAACCAGCCATAGGCTCCAGTGAGCAAGAAAACAGCAGAATCCCTTCCTTTGCTTTTTATTTTTAATATTTTTTTAGAGTATTTTTATATCTAACAGAAGAGGTGAAAAATGAAAAGATAGCACAGAGAGTACCTTTTCATGCCTGCACCCAAATTCCTTATTTTTGACATCTTATGTTGATATGGTACACTTATCATAATTAATGAACCAATCTTGATACATTATTAGTATTAACTAAACTTCATATTTTATTTAGGTTTTATGTTTTTCCCTTATGTTTCTATTCTGTTCCAGAATCCTCTCCAGGATTTCACATTGCATTTAAAACCAATAGGATTTGTTATGGATTGGATATGCATATAAAAGGAAAAGGTAAACAAGGATGACTTTAAATTTTATCCTGTGCACTTGAAGGAGAGAATTGACATTAACTAAGATGAAAAAGGCCATGGGAGCAGCAAATTTGGGGGGAAAGGTCAGGAGCTCAGTTTTTGACAAGTTCCTTAGACATTCAAGTTGAATAGGTTATAGAGAGAGAAATCTGGACTTCAAGGGTGAGGTCAAGGTTGAAGACATAAATTTAGAAGTCATCACATATAGATAGTTCCATGTGCAATATGTATTCAAGAAATATTTGTTTATTAATTACTACAGAGAAGATCTTTAATTGTGTCTATTTCTCCTAAAAGAAGAATCAACTAAAAGAATTCACACTACTTGTCTTCTAGAATTAGATGACAGTAGTCCAGTTCTACTATATCATACTACTTCCAGCTTCCAATGGCGCAGAGGACAATCAGCTTGGAACAATACTTGACCACCAAAAAATAAAAAATCCAAAGTAATGCATGCATGCCCATTATGGTCTAACCACCTAGCCTCAGCACCCTAAGTCCATATTCATAAAATATTCAGAATGTCTTAAAGAAGCTCTTATGTTTGGAAAAGTTCACAGTGAGACTAAGAGCAGGCCCATGATACCTTCCCCAGATTTCACTAATATTTTGGAGTTAAAGATGTTTTAAAAAGGAAAAAAATACTAACCTCAGAAAAACAGCATTCCACAGAACCATGGAAATTGGAACACTTTTCAAGGGACATTTCCATTAACTAGCAAGAAACTGTGCTGTCAAGGGAACCACACAAAATTATGCGCTGCCAATGACTCTGTATACTGCTGGCATTTAAACCAGGATGGATAATGCTAATAGTTTCTATTTGTATACAGCATTCTGAATGTTTCCAGAACAACAGGTCCTTGCAAAAGTGGACCTGTTATACAAAAACCAAAGTATAAATGAAAGACATATCCCTACTATCCACATAACGATTAAATTTACCTCTTTTCAAAAAGCACCACTGAATATGACCCATATAAGCAAAATGGATAAATCACACTCCATTGAAATTCAAAACATTTTCTCTTTGAAAGACTCTATAGGCAAATGAAAAGACAAGCTACAGACTTAAAGAAAATACTGTGAAATCACATACTTGATAAAGGATTTGTATCTTGAATCTACAACAAGCTCTTACAAATCAACAACATGATGACAATCCAATTTTAAAAATGGTCAAAAGATTTGAAAGCTATCTCATCAAAGAGGATATACAAATGCGTTGATTAATAAGCACATGAAAAAATGCCCCAAATCAATCATTAGGGAGATGTGGATTAATATCACAATGAAATAGCATTTCACACCTACTAGAAGACCTATTAAAAAAAAAAAAAAAGACAGACAAAAGCAAATGTTAGCAAAGATGTGGAGTAACTTGAACCCCCATCATACATTTGGTGATGTAAAATGTAAATTTGTGCAGCTGTTTTGGAAAACAGTTTGGCAGATTTTTTAAAAAAATTTATTTCTCATGTAACCTAGCAATTCTTCTCCTAGGTATCTACCCAAGAGAAATGAATTCATATGAACACACAAAATCTTGCACAGCAATAGCCAAAAACTGGAAATAACATAAATGTCCATCAATTGGTTTGGTGAATAAAAAAGACAATATGATATGTCCTTTCAAATGGAATACTACTTAACAATAAAAAATAATGAAGTACTGATTCCTGCTTGAAATCAATATTCTTGGATAAACAGAAACATTTTGCTAAGTGAAAAAAGCCAGAAACAAAGACCAAATTCTGTAAAGTTCTATTTATATGAAATGTCCAGAATAGGCAAATCTATAGACACAGATTAGTCTGCGGCTGAAACTAGAAATAGGGATTAATTGTAAACA